TATATTTTAAAATTAATACTTGCGAGTAGTGAAGAAAATTTTCAACTGAATTGTGGAAGTAATTCTAGTGAAAAAGTAATCTCCCAACGCGTTTAGAATTATTTTTCAATGTTATACGTACGTAACAAAACAACGACAAAGAAATTGAAGAAATTATTCTTGCTTTAATAATTCAATTAAATATTTCATTCGCGGGATTCATTTTCGATCGAAGAATGTAAAGGAAAAGCAGTGTGACGGAAGATTCTTGTTTGTTTTCGAAATCATCTGTGCCAGATGGATTTTCAATTCAGGAAATCATAACATCATCTTCTCCGGTAATTTGAATTTCCATCAGCGTCGAATCCCTTCGTCGTCGTGGTTGGAATCTCACGCCAACGCTACCAACGGGACAGAGGGATTACGATTAGAAGACGACGAAACAACATCAGCACGATAGCTGATCGGACAAGGGTTAAAACTGTTCCCGATCCGAGCGCGGTGTCCGAAGCTTCTGACCGAAACATCGAAATTAATGAAGTCGTCCGACCGGGGCCGAGAGCTGGGTAAATTAGAGGTACACGGCAACCATTAGAATACTTAACGAGGACGTCATGGTGGGAAGTAGTGCGCGGGTGTGATGATGAATCACTGGCTAGCTCACCGTTGCGAGCGCGCCCTGGAATATTAAATTAAGTTTACTTATTGTCGGCCAAAGGGTCTCAGGCGCCGCGCCGGCACCTTTTTTCCCTTTCTTTCGTGGCTGTTCTTCTACCTCTTCTACCTCTCGTTTCTTCTCTAGCCAAGCTTCGCCTTCGTGATTTCACTGTGTTTCCACGAAGCACAGACGAGGAAGCAAATGGGCGAGCCCAAACGCGTGCTCGACGAGGGTAAAAAGTTTCGGGCACACGGACAAAGTCGCAGGGACAAAAGAAGTTGCGGTTTCCTCTTTCCTCTGGTTCTCTTCTCTTCTCTTCTCTTTTCTTCTCTTTGCTCGTCGTCGGCGACGATGTTCGCGATGACGCAGAAGCGGAAGTACTCGCAAGTCGTAAAAGTTCAGCAGCAGTAGGTGCCTTTTATTCCTTTTATTCTCATCTGTTGACGACAGGTAGTATACATTCGGTTTTTACATTTGGATTTTCGGTAAATCCAAAGTGTTTAAAGGGACGAAGACTTATAAGAGTACTTATGAGATTAGCATTGCTTGTAAGATTACTCGTAAAAGATGAAGACTTGTAAGGCTTGTAAGATTGCAAGCAATCTTATTCCTGTAAATCAAAACGTTACTATTCTAGCTAGCGTCTTCGTGTTGAAATGATGCGAAAGATGTTGAGTAACGTGCGAAATGAATATTATTTTGTACAACGTCGAAGAATGTAACAACGATTGGTTCAGTTTACAAAGTGTTAAAATGGACATTTCTCGTATATTGTAATCTGATTGGAACGTTGAAATTTCTGGGAACCAGAGATTACTTGAAATTATTGAAATTTATCAAACGAAATTGTTCGTCAGTATTGGAAATAGTTTCAAGTTTAGACATTGCATGAATTCTTAAAATTAATTTCAAATAATTCTTATACTTATACCCTAAATATTTAGACTTATCTTCATACAATATGTCTTTTACAAACAACTTGCCAAGCGTGCTTCATCTCGATTAATTCGCAAACAAAATACAGAAACGTAACTGATACCATTCTCAACTTAAGTATCGCTTTTTGTAACGGTCTCGAAGACGGTAGTAACAAACTCGCGACGTAAATCTTCCGCGGCTAAGTAATTCCCTCGATCGCGGGCAATTCATCACGTAGAAATCAGAATCTCAAAGAAATCTCGACTCCGTTCGTACAAAGACAGTCGACAAAGGAGGATTCCATTGAATCCTCGACGTGCACGTCGCACAGGCTTACTTCTTACGCGTCAACCCTGGTCGCTGTCGCGACGAAAAGTAGCAGTGCGTGTCGCAAAAAAGGGCAGCCGCTCGGAGAGAAGATGCCAAGGAGGATGAAGAAGAAGAAGAAGAAGAAGATCCAAGTAAGAAGAAACTCGGGGCGACAAAAATGGACTTTACAGGGAGAGCTAGAGGACCTCGCGACCATCTTCCCTTTTTTCTCTCTCTCTTTTATCCTCCTATATAATTCTTTTTCCATCTGCCCTTTTTTTTTTCCCTCTCCTTCCGAGCAGTTTTCGTTTTCTCCTCTTTATGTTCCGCTGCCGTCTCTCCCTCTCTGCCACGGCCGCTCTGTGTGTGAGTCGTTCGGGTTAGCGTCTCCTCCGGAGTTGAAATATACAAAATGAAATATGAAATAATGGTTCGTGCCTTGTGGCTGGCTGAAGGCACGGGCGCACCCATATCTACGCCCCCATGCGCCTATGTACCTATACGGCCCGGTGTGTATACGCCGATCCCGTGTACATATGTACGCGCGCACACACCATATACATCCGCCTCGCTCAAGTTTTTCGTTCTTGTCGTGAACATCTTACGTTCGTATTAACCCTTATCCCTGCTTAATGATATTCCGGCCTACCATGCCGGACGGGCATATTGAACGCAACTAAGGCAGATTCCGAGCCGTCGTCGTCCGGCCAAGTCGACCGGCCAAGCCCTCCTGTAATTCGTATCTACGCTCGTCCGACCATTTTTCCGCTTCCTCCACGACCACACGACGACGACTACTACTACTACGACCTTAGCTAGCCACGTAGCGGGCAATTAGGGACAAGCCTCGTAGCATGAATTAAGAGTATCGCTGGCCAATCGGCGAACGAACCGCAGCCGGTCTTATCGATCCTTGAAATAACGCCGCGATACCTTCCTCCTTGCTAGATTTACCCGGCACCGTGATTCCAATACTGTGTATGTATGTATATATGTATGTATGCATGTAGGAATGGTGAATGCGGATCTTACGTGCAGAAGAATTTATAGGTTCGCGGTGAAAGATTGGATTCGACGAGCGTGCGTCGAGT